GTGAGTTCAGGTGTTTTAAACTCTAAAGGCTTATTCGTGGCTATAAAACGTTTGAGTTTCTGCTCAATTTTACATTTAGTCCTTGGTCATTTCTATTCTCCTTGGGAGTTGCTGTTTTACGTCTTCAGTCGCTTTGCACCACATTTGGAGTCTCACAGCCCCGGGGCCACAGCGCACAGCTTATGTTGACCAAACACTGTTGACCACAAGGTCCTTTCTTGATCCAGGGTGTGAAACCCGCAGGCTTTGGCGGCTCGGTCCCACCAATAATCTGGTGGCGCGATGGACGCTGCAGCAGTGACTCTTATCTCGGCAGGCTGAGCGCACATATTCCCTTTGAAAGAGAGGGTGGTGGTGGTGGTAGTGGTGGTGGTGGTGGTGGTGGTGTGTGTGTGTGTGTGTGTGTGTGTGTGTGTGTGTGGGGGGGGGGGGGGGGGGGGCTGATCGAGACAGAATCTAATCTTCAATAATTTCATTCCAGCATCCACGCCGGTACGATCTTCTCATTATTTGTGCTGCAGAGAATCCCCAGAACACTAGACTGTCATAACAGATTAATTGATTTTAAAGGGATATCAGCTGATTTTCCTGTCAAAATAAACGGATGGTGCAGTGAAAGTAAAATAATTCAGATTTTATTGTATGAACAAGGCAGGCTTGGTGATTTGTTTTTGGTGGTATAAGGGGAAAAATGCATATTTGTATTAATTATTATTATTGTTGTTGTTGGTATTATTATTATTATTATTATTATTATTATTATTATTATTATTATTATTATTATTATTATTATAGTGTATCTTTGGCAGACAGGCTTCTGCTTCAAGATGCATTTCTTGGCTCTTTCCTTCATGCATTTTAACTTCAGACAGGATTTTAGACACTAAAAATATAAAATTGAACAGAAATGTTTAAACATGTTTTTAATGCATTTTTTAGTTAAATATCCACTCTGATGGAAACATCTGTTTTGACTGATAAACACTGATAAACACTACACTACCAAAAGGAAATCTTTTAGGGCATTTCTGTGTGTCTCTCCCTTTCACCACCATAACAGCTCTATCTCCTCTGAGAAGATCCTCCATGGGGTTTATGAGTGTACTTATGGGAATTTGAGACAATTTTTGCAGAAAAGCGTTTGTGAGGACAGTTAAGGAGAAGGTCTGGCTCATATCTTCTATCATATGGGTGCTCTATTGGTTTGAAGTCAGGCCTCTGCATACCTCTACACCTGACTTCTCATTGATGTCATTCTTGCAATATGAGAAGTGTCCCAATGTTTTGGGTAATACATAGCAACTTACAAAAATTGTAAGATCGTTAATTTATAAGTTTGTTATTCCTTTACAATTACAAGAATGTCACGGCCCCTCCCTGCCCATCAACAATTCAACTTATGAACAGCTCTTGTTGCTCACTAGTAAAGGGTTGATGCACACATGCAAAGTATCATGTGTTTTTTATTTTTAATTCAGTGAAGTTTAGTTTAAGAAGGAAAAAATAAAAAAAAATGAAATAGGTCATCATCAAGACTACTCTGAGCAGACAGACCAGGGTTTAAAATTTTAAAGTTTAAAAAGTTATTGAGTCACTTGCAGTTAAATTTTTTTCTTAGTGTGTTTCTCACCAAATCTCACCAAAATATTAGCTTGTACCTCTTTTCTACCAAGTTTCACTTAGATTTGCTCTAGAAGAGGCACATAAAAGTATGTTTTGCATAGTTGTCTAGTTAGGCGGAAGTGGGTGTGGCTTCTTTGTACTGCTGCCAACAGGTAGGCGCTATCTATCTATCTATCTATCTATCTATCTATCTATCTATCTATCTATCTATCTATCTATCTATCTATCTATCTATCTATCTATCTATCTATCTATCTATCTATCTATCTATCTATCTATCTATCTATCTATCTATCTATCTATCTATCTATCTATCTATCTATCTATCTATCTATCTATCTATCTATCTATCTATCTATACCTACCTACCTTCCTACCTACCTATCTAACACAAATATGATGCAAAACCATCCAGAGATTAAGGTGATAAAAGGTCTATAAGTGTGAAAATATGGTTTAGGAGCTATTAGCCAAAACACATTGACCTTTGTAACAGTGCCACATAGGTGTAGTTTACTAAGATAAGAAATGGCACACTTCCCTCGATGTAGCCGGTCATCTTGATATAGCGTGTGGGGGCACACGCTTCTGTTTGAGCCACATTAAGGGAAGAATACATATTATAGACCATTTCCTCCAGTGAAGAATAAAAAGGGCCCTGCCACTACGTGTCCCCTTCACGAAGACATTAAAAGTTACAACAATAAAACCATGCACATTTAAACATGATTTGGTTTTTATCAACCCAGATACACACAGCAAGTCATTAATAACTCCTTTTACAATGTTCGGAGAGACCACAGCCTTCGTTTTACAATTCCAGAAATGAGGTTGGTGTATGAAGGACTTTTCTCCAAACCTTATGCACATTTTTTCTTAACAAATGGAAACAACATTGCAATGTGCAGATTGGGTTCAAAAAGTTGTTTGAATCTGAAACAAAATGTCACAAATGAAAAAATTCTATAACCTTAACATGTGGTTAGAACACAGATCATTGTTTTTAATCCCTTCATCTTCCGACTGGTGAGCAGAAACACAAATCCACCCTCCCAGTTGATCCATAACCAGAGTATTATTCCACTCACACTTCCTGTTTGAAAAATGCAACAAATGATGTTGCCTAGCAGACCGAGAGGGCGGACCCACTAACAAATACACACACACACAGGCTCACGACGACATTGTGACATCATATGGTACCAGCTAACGTTCTAGGGTACCTCTTAGCCAATAGCAATGGCAGATTTTTATTTAAATGCAGTGCAGAGTTTTTACCTGACAACGGCACAACACTGACAGTTTTAGGCAGAAAATTTTAATTTTAACTAAAATGCTAAACTATTAACTACACGCGTCTGCAGCACGATTAGACACACATTTATATAGTTTATCCAAAAAAATAGTTGATTTGGGGGTGACTTGCTCTTTAAACCCTCGCACATGAAGCCAAACTGCTCTTATTTCACCTGTAAACTGTGCAAACTACCATTAATCACAGGGCAATACAGCACGGTAGGCCTCGACTTTCCTCAACAGAGTTTAGTTAAAATTCTTTTTTTTTATTTTTTTTTTTATTTACCGTGTCCTGTCTGGCTGTGAAGCAAGCAGAATTGATGTCTGAATGCTGGTGACAAGCCTTACAGATTTACTCTCAGGTGGAGCATTAAAGCTTCTGCTTTTAATGTCACGCCTGATACTTAAAACTTTATTGTTATTGTGTTTGAATGCTTTGTAATTCCGACCAGACACGGAGACAGAGGTGAAAGAGAAAGGAAAAGAAAAGGTGGGGAGAGGGGGTGGGGGTGGGGGTGGGGGGTGGTTCCACAAAAATAAACAATGAACAAGAGTCTGCTTCTAGACCTGCAGAAAAAGACAAAAAAAAAAGCAAAAAGACAAAAAAAGGGACACAACAACAATACAACAAGATCAAGCTATCACTGCGTCAACTTGATGAGGAAATATATAATCAACATTGCTTAACTGAAGAATCACGATAATAAATCGCAGTGCATTAAGTGCCCACCATAGTCTTAAGACCTGTGTTTAACGTGCCCAAGCCCATACTTTTGAGAGCACCATGTGAGCACCTGTGTGTGTACACGCGCTTGTTTATGTAAGGTTTCTCTATAGGAGTGTCCAACAGAGAGTGTGAGGGACCACATATCCACCCCCCAAAGATGCGCAGGAGACGGGGGGAGCTCCAAGTCCCAGAGATCCAGGCGCTGCCCCAGAACACAGGAACCCCAAGGAGACTGCAACCAGGAAGGCCCCCGCCCCTCTCGAGAGGCACAGAGGATCGCCCCGGGGAGCCACAACCAGCAGCCGGCAGAGTCCCGGGAGATATCAGCGGCAAGCCCTCAGGCCCGCCCGCAGCCTCCCACCCCCTAGCCGGCCGAGCCCGGGACCCAGCGACCCGAGACCCAGGGGCGACCACCCCCGCCGGGGACACAGCAGAGCCCAGGGACCCAGACCACACCAGGCAGCCACCGGGATCTATCAGGCAGATGCAAAATTCGTTAGAATTCTAAAGCAGGAAGTGAGTCTTACATTATAAAAGCCATGGAGGGATGTGGCTTTGACACAGGAGTGTTGGGAAAACTCTCGGGAGTTCCCCATTTGCCTTTGGAATAGGTAAAGAGTCACTCTGGTTGGAAACGCCACAGGTGGCTGATCTGACACAGAAACAGCTACTTCTGTTTCAGCTGTTAGGGATAATACACATTTAGCTGAGCATACGCTTGATTTTATAATGCTCATGGTAAGAACTTTGCCATTACATATAATGGTTGTAGCACATAGTTGTGTTTTTGTGTCCATGTCTTAAATAATACGCCACAATCCTCAAAAAAAAAGCTGAAATGTTTCCACATTTTGTTCTTCTCAGTGAAACATTAACACAAATGTGTGTAGAGAAGAAGTTTTGTGTTCACCAGTGTAGCATCACACTTTATAGCATAACAACTGCATATTTAATTATGACCAATAAAATGTGATTACTCCATATAAATATGAAACAGCAACCTTATTGATCTTTGAATGTTTAACCAGAAGAGTTAAGGATTCTTTGAAGATCACAGGCTTCAAGCAGAGGAAGGATTGCACAGATGGCAGCCTGGACATAGCCAATGAACTGAACAAGTTCTTCAACAGGTTCAGTTCAGGAACAAACCCAGCATCCTCCTCGCCTGTCCCCAGCCAATCAGACATCCCATCCTCCTCTGATCCAACATTTTCCTGTCACATGCAAGCTTTTTTGTCCTCTAACACAGTCATGGACTCTTCTGGTTCTATAAATCTGTCTTCAATCAAGTCAGGAGATGCTGCTGCCCCATTTACCTCCCCCTCCCACCTATCTGTCTCTAGAAGTCAGGTGA